TTAAAGGGGTTTTCCCCCGGGGGCCCCCCCCCCCCCCCCCCCCCCCCAAGCTCTGCCAGAAAGAGCAGAGAGTTCTCAAATGCCTTGGCCACGCTCAGAAACTTAGAAGGTGCGGTTAAGCCAGGGTTCAGACTCATTGGGAGCCAGCCTGAGCTAGAATTGTGAAAATGCTTTGGGGAAAGATCGAGGTCGAAAATGATATCAGGCCCACGTTGTGAGGGACTTAGCACTTCAGATGTGTGACGTGAAACGAAGTGAAAGCGGTGACTTTGTGCTGTTAACCTGGGAGAGACTTCAGACACGCATTTGTCTCGGGAGCATTAGACCATCATCTCAGCCTGCTGCCATTAGCTTCCTTCGACATTGTGACTTTTTTCTCCAGTAGATAACTCAGTTCATTTCTTCTCCCCCAAATTTATGTGTCTTTACATATGAGTATTTATACGAATGCTTTTTAATACTTCGGGTGGCCAATAGAGAGTGCCAAACTGGTACAACAAAGTACTAACAGGCAAGACTTTCCAGTGTCCTGAGCCCCGTCATTCACAAAGGAGTCAATTAAGAGCCCTTGCATTTCTTTTTCTGTTAGCATGCAGAGTGGTGGGTTTTATTTCAAACTTTCCTAAGTATATGCTGTTTTGTTCTTATCTGCCCGCCTTCTACACTGCCTTCCCAATCCTCCCTGTCCCTCTCTTACTGGTCCCCTTCCTTTCCTGAATGGCCCCTGTATTGATGTCACATACATACATTTCAGTTCCCAGCACCCCTTTAAGATCTTGTCTTCCAGGGGAGTGGCTCTGCTTTTTCAGAGGACCGAGGTTTGGTGTTCAACCTCTTCATGATGGCTCATAACCATCTGTAACTCCAGTTTCAGGGGAGCCTAAACCCTCTTCTGACCTCTGGATACCAGGCACATGTGTACACACACATACATGTAAACAAACATTCAGTACACTTAAAGAAAGACTCTCTTCCCATATTCCCCTTTCTAAATTGTGTCATCAACATAAATTTAGATCTAAATTCTGCTTATGAGAGGAAACACGAGCTATCTCTGAGTCTGGATTACTTTCTTAACATAATGTTTTCCTCCCAATGTCATGGTTTCATTGTTCAGCTTGTGGCTGAACAAAAATGTATATATGTACGAAATTCTCATTGTACATTCTTCTGTTGATGAACACCTAGGCCTGTTCTGTTTCTTGGCTGTAGTAGGTACCAATAAATACAGATGTGCAAGTGTATCTGTGGCATTTGATTGGGGTCCTTTTGTTGTATACTCAGGAGTGTTATAGCTGGGCCATATAGGAGTTCATGTAATGTAGATGGGAGAACAGGCCAGAGTCTGAGTTCCTGACTCTTGTTTATGCCACACTGCTCAAGCTTCTGTCCTAAGGAACGGGTCTTACATGAGCCATGTGGTGCTAAAGATTTTTCAAAACTCATGTGGAAAGATGCAGAGAAGGGAAAAGGAATGTTTTAAGAGCTGGGGGAGTGACTTGGTAGAGGGTTTGCCTGCCATTTGTGAAGCCTTGGTTTTAATCCTAGGACCACCAAACAAAGGGTGTTCTTACATACCTAGATCTTTTTCTCTGTGCCACTGGCAAAGGTGTGTGCCACCTTGTTATTCTGCATAAGAGTGTGACAAACTCTGTTCTCTTTTTTCCCCTACAGTTCCTCCAGCAGTATAATCACTATAAATCCAATATGGAGATTTTCAAGTTACAACCAAATAAACCTAGCAAAGATCTGGCAGAGCTGGTGATGTTCATGGCACAGGTAAGAAGGTAATTCCTCAGTGAGACAGAGGTGCAGAAGTGCCACTGCCCTACCCCATCCCTGTTATTTCCAGCCTTCTTCCTAAGATATGTTAGAGGATTTTGATGAATTTTAACACAGAACCAACCAGAACAAAAATCAAAAAGAATTTTTTCTTTTTTTTAATTTGCCATATAGGTAGGTTCTCAATTGTGCTGCATACATTTCACAAAAAAACTATTGGAACCATGAAAGTTGTAGAAATATTAGCATACGGGGACAGCTGGCAATCGAAAGTCATCTGCCTTGTGAACTGGCCGTTCCCTGAGCATCTAAATGTGCAGCTGAAGGCAGGGAGAAAGGCCGTCCTGAGACGAGCTCTGCTTTGTTACAGATTGGCCACTGCTACCCGGAGCATCTCAGTAACTTCCCGCAGGAGCTGAAGGAGCTGCTCTCCTACAATCACACTGTCTTGGACCCGGATCTCCGAATGGTAGGAGAGTTAAAATGTCCCATGCATGCAATGACAGTGGAGAAATGAGCATCTTCTGGCTGGACATCTTTCTGGTGCCTGGCGGCGGGCAGAGATGGGATGTGCATGCTAGGTCTTCTCATTTGATTAAGTTCACCATCATCTTTTAGTATGTGTTCTTTTCCTCCCCCTAGACATTTTGCAAAGCATTGATCTTGCTGAGAAATAAAAATCTCATCAATCCATCAAGTTTGCTAGAGCTCTTCTTTGAGCTTCTGCGATGCCACGACAAGCTCCTACGGAAGGTAAAGAACCAGCGTTTGTTCCCTATATTCCTGTCTTCCTGAGCTGATGTAACAGAGTTCAGAGTTCACTGAATTATTAACTCCTTTGATAGGTGAGAGACACAGCGATCCTTCAATAGGAGGAAACATCATGCCATGCAGTTTAATATTAATAACCAACATTTGCTGAATGCCACTCTGGACTAGCCATTAATCTCAGAGGCTTTAAGTATATGTTTATTCACAAAAACCTGAAATAGAGACTGTTGAGATCTTTGTGCTTAATGCTATACAGGCAGATAAGTTGAGGCAGAGCAAGTGACTTGTCTCTGTCAGTCACACAGCTTCTGTGTGTAGGACTAGACCATGAACCCATGCAGTCTGGTGCCAAAACCTAGTCTGTACTGAACGGTTACATGAGGGCACGCACACTAGCTGGAACCAACCTGCACAATAAAAACTTGACTTTTTGTTGCTTTAGCATTTTTCTGTGACTGTATATTTGCTTATTTAAGACAGGAGCTGAAGGCTTATGAAACAAATTTCAGAAAGAAAAGCTTAACTTTATATTCATTAAGTTAATCCCTCATACCAGATATTAAGAGGCTATTACTATTTTATTTGAGCATTTTTAGTTCTGGTCTAAGTTGTGAACTACAAATATCCATGGGACCATTTTTTGGTCACATGTTTATAGTCGAAGAATTGTCATGCATTCAGTCAGATGCTTGCTTCGCTTAAAAAAGATTTAGGGGCTGATGAGATGTCTCAACATTGAACACTTTGAACATTTGCTGCTCTTCCAGAGGATCTAGGTTCCAGCACCTTCATTGGGCAGTAACCACCATCAATAACTCCAGCTCCAGGGGATCTGACACCTCTGGCCACTATGGCACCTGTACTCATGTGCACATACCCAAATGCAGGCACACACAATTATTTTAATTAAACATAATAAAAAGAAATATTCTTATATTCATTTATAGTGTACAGTTCAATGTACTTTTTTGAAAGATTTGTTTTTATTTGTATGAGTATTTTGCCTACGTGTACTACATGCATTTATTGCCCACAGAGTTCAGAAGAGGGTGTCAAGTCCCCTAGAACTGGAGTTACAGGTAATTGTGAGCCACCATGTGGGTACTGCGAACTGAACCTCGGTCCTCTGCAGGAGCAGCCAGTGCTCTTAACCACTGAGTTATCTCTCTGGCCCTCTGTGCTTTCTGTTTCTTGGTTTCTGGTGGTGCTGGAGATTGAGTCCAGAGCCTTGCAGTTGCTAGAAGTGCTTTTTCACTAAGCTGCATCCCAGCCCTTGAGTCTTTCAGACAGGGACCTCACTGTGTATGTAGTCCAGCCTGACCTTGACCTTGCTGCAATCCAGGCTGCCTTGAACACTCTTCTGCCTCTGCCTCAAGGGTGGTACAGTACCACAGCTTTGCCTATTGTTGATGTTTCACTTAGGTGGCGTTACACTTTTTTTTTTTTTTTTTTTTTTTGTTTTTTTCCTCTTTTTTTTTTTTTTTTTTTTTTTTTTTGCTGTCTTCCTGCACTCAGCATGCTGTTTCAAGATTGATGTATGTATGATTGTGTCCTTTTCATTGCCAAATATTCCACTGTATGGCTCTGCCATGTGTTTACCCATCATCAGTGCCATTCATCACCCAGTGGGCATTTGGGTTGCTTCTCCTTTTTGCCCATTGTAAACAAAGGAGTTCTGACTGTATAACAGGTAGGGGAATAGGTTTTCTTTCCTCTGGGGAAACTCCTCTTAGGACCCAGGGGCAGCCTTACCTTTAGCCGCTCTTGAGTGTTTGCTTCTTTAGATCTCTTCTATTAGAGAACGAAATGGGAAAAGCAGGGTTGTTCTGCGTATGGGTGCTTTTCTCCAAAGTCAGACATGCTCATCGGTGTCATGTGCTTTCTTTCCTCAGACTCTGTACACACATATTGTGACTGACATCAAGAACATAAACGCCAAACACAAGAACAATAAAGTGAATGTGGTAAGTGCACTTGGCTTCCTGTGCTGGAACTTTGATCTGTCTGTGCATCAAGTGCTCATCCTCCTTGTTCCCTAGGTGCTGCAAAATTTCATGTACACAATGCTGAGAGACAGCAACGCCACTGCAGCCAAGATGTCTTTGGACGTGATGATCGAACTCTACAGGAGGAACATCTGGTAACACACTTTCTCCTGGGAAATACACACACACACACACACACACACACACACACACACTTACACACACTCACTTGTTTTGTTTTTTGAGACAGGATTTCTCTGTGTAACAGCTCTGGCTGTCCTGGAACTCCCTCTAGAGACCAGGCTGGCCTTGAATTCAGAGATCCGCCTGCCTCTGCCACCCGAGTCCTGGGATTAAAGGTGTGCACCACCAACGCCCAGCTATATTTTCCTTTATAATGATTACAGAGCCCATAAATAAGTGTGGCTTTTTGTCTTTATTTTAGTCTTACTTTTATCATGCATTAAGGTTGAGCATAAAATATAGAGGCAGTCATGTGGTTAGTGCTTTTTGTCGACTCAACACAAGTTACCATTATCTGGGAAGAGGAACCTCAGTTGAGAAGATGCCTCTATCAGATGGTCTGTAGGAGTTTATGGTGCATCATTTTAATTAATGATGGATGTGGGAGGGCACAGCCCATGGTGGGCAGTGTTATCCCTGGGCAGGTGGTCCTGAGTTGTTTAAGAAAACGGATTGAGTAATATAAGGAAGAAAGCCAATAAGCAGCACTCAGTGGCCTCTGCTTCAGCTCCTCCCGACATCTCTTGGTGATGGAGTGTGAGTTGAAGTAAACCTTTTGTCAGCTGTGGTTGAGATTTCGCTGAATTTTTATTTATGTTGTCTTATGTTATTAAAAACAAAAATTTGTGCACATTATAGTTGTGTGTGTGTGTGTGTGTGTGTGTGTGTGTGTGTACCTAATCTTGGCATCTGCTGTCTTCCTCAATTGTTCTTTACCTTGTAACTTGAGACAAGGTCTCTCGTTTGAACCCAGTAGAACTCAGTTTAGTTGAGCTAATCGGGCTTGCTGCCTGCTGTTGGGGTCCCGTCTCTGCCAACAGACAGGCCACTATGTCCTAGGATAGTGAACTCCAGTCCTCATACTAGCACTCTCCCCACTAGCCAGCCATTCCTCCAACCCTGGGTTTGCTGTATTGCAGTTTTTTCCTTGTGAGTTTTTGGTGGTTTTGTTTTTGTTTTTGTTTTTAACACTTATGCTGAGTAGTTTCCTGTGGCACCAAATGTTCTTCACATTGATGCCTTCAAGTTGTATCCTCAGACTGAGCTGGAATTTCAGCAAGTTTTGTGCCTGTGCTGACTCTTAGCAGCTTGTCGCTGTAAAATCCTAGAATTGACCATCCTGATGTCAGAAGTACTTGGTGTTTCATGCCATTTTTCTTTTCCAGGAATGATGCTAAAACTGTCAATGTTATCACAACTGCCTGTTTCTCCAAGATCACCAAGGTGAGCTGTAGGGCTGTGCAGAAGCATGTGGAAGTGGAGCTGGGTGTGTCAGGAGTAAATGGCTGCCATTTCTACATCATGCCTTAAAAATCCTGTAGTTCAGTAGACTCCTCTAAAGTGTGAGCCAGGAAAGCGACTCTGTAAAAAGAGACGCCATCAAACCCAATTGCATGATACGGCAAAAATAAAGGCAACAGTTCACATTATTTTCCCTGGTGGTACCCAGCTTTTCTTGATAGTCTGCCTTAAGGGAGCTATATAGAGCCTGGAAGTTATTTCTGTTTGTTTAAGTCAGTGTTTATAAATAGATATGAGTGTATAAAGATAGTGATTGGATGCCACAGCCTCAGTGCCAGTGCCTTAACTACATGTGTGTTGTGAGGCGCTTCCATCCTTGTCAAGGGGAGTGCTAACCTCCCTTTCCATATAACATGTGCCTGACAGTCTTTTTTCTAATTAATGACTGACTTTCGGGGTTCTGGGGATGGAACTTAGGGATTGGGCTTACTCTCAAGCATGTGCGCTGCCATTGAGCTATGTCCCTCTCCCCCATCCTAGTTAAAGACATTATTGTGTATTTGTGAAACAGTGACACTGTGAAATATTTTAAATGATGAAAAGGGAGTGATTACCTCCTTCCCACCCTTTGAGGTTCTTTTCTTAGGACATGTGCGTGGGGGCGCGGAAGTGTAGACAGAAGTCTGTGTTTGTTGTAACCTGGGTATATTGACTTGTTTCTTGTTGGTCTTTAGATACTAGTTGCTGCTTTGACATTTTTTCTCGGCAAAGATGAGGGAGAGAAACAGGACAGTGACTCAGAATCCGAGGTGAGTTCAATACAGGTCCTTAGAGGTGTCCAGTTCTTCATGTGTTGCTCCTGAGTTCAGTCTGTCAGACCTTTAGATGTTTGAGTTAGAAGGAAGTGAGTGTCACATGTGTCCTTTTTAAAGTCCTGCCATGTTTAGACTTTAATTCAAAACATTTGCAATTTATTCCTTTATTTATCTAGTAAGACTAAAATGAGCCTGGCGTTGGTGGTGCACGCCTTTAATCCCAGCACTTGGGAGGCAGAGGCAGGCAGATCTCTGTGAGTTTGAGACCAGCCTGGTCTAGAAGAGCTAATTCCAGGACAGCCTCCAAAGCCACAGAGAAACCCTGTCTCAAAAAACCAAAAAAAAAAAAAAAAAAAAAAAGACTAACTAAAATGTAAATGTAAATCAGATTCATTTGACCCTGATCTTAGTTCTAAGTTATTTCTACCTGTTCATATATAAATTTAGAAGAAAAGAAAATGCTGGCAGTTATGAAGTAGTACCAATATCACAAAAGTAGGAAAGAGAGGAGAATAGTATTGCAGTGTCTTTAGAAATCAAGATTTGTGCTAAAAAATAAAGTTCTTAGAAGTAAAAAGTTCTTTTTTAAAAAAAAATTACTAAAAATATGCATATCCATACAGGGCTAGAGCAATGCCCCAGTGCTTAGAGCACTTGCTGCTCTTGTAGAGGCCCAGAGTTTGGTTCCCAGCACCCTTGTTAGACAGTTTACAACTGCATGTAACTCCAGCTCCAAGGGATTGAACACGCTCTTCTGTTTACTGCAGGGATCTGCAAGGATGTGCACAAATACAAAGACACATGCACACAAATACAAATAAATAATTTTAGCATTGTGGTAACTAGACCAAGAACCCCACTATGTTTCCTTGTAAAAACTTTGAGACAATGTAGACAGAGTAAAGGTTTTCTTGACTTTGGGTTATTTCTGTCCCTAGTTCCTTTTCCAGGTAACCCATTTCGTTTCCAGTGCATTTTTGTTTGTACAGAAAGCCTTATGTAAACATTTATGTGTCACTGTGTGCAGATGGAGTTTGTTTAGATCTATGAATACCCACTGAATATTCCAGAATATGAATGTATTACACTTTTAAGTATTCTTCTGTTGATAAATACATTTACAATTTCCTTCAAATAAAAGCAACATTGTGTCTGCATATATCATACTGAAATGAAAAATAAATACTAAATCTAAGCACATAAATCACCGCTGAAGGGAAAATGTGTGGCCTCCTTTTGCACACATGTACATAGTTCCTGATTTTAAAAATTGTATTCATTAGTAGGTGTGTGCAAAAAGTCTAAGAACCAAAGCATAGGGGCCAGAGAGATGGCTCAGAGATAAAGCATGTGTGGAGCAATCCCAGTGACCTGAGCTATGTCTGTAGAAGCCATGTAAAGATGGAATTAGAGAATCATTCTACAGAGTTGTCCTCTGATGGCTACACAAGCAGTTGCATCATATAGACATAGAGACATGTTGATGCTGATGAGGTTATTTTATTAAACAACCCAACACCTGTAACTCCAGCTCCTGGGGACTCAAAACTGATATAGCACATGCACATTCTTTTTTTTTTTTTTTTTTTTTTTTTTTGGTTTTTCGAGACAGGGTTTCTCTGTGGCTTTGGAGGCTGTCCTGGAACTCGCTCTGTAGACCAGGCTGGTCTCAAACTCAAGAGATCTGCCTCCTGAGTGCTGGGATTGTGCCACCACCGCCTGGCCTCACGTGCACAATCTTACATATAGACGCACATAATTAAAAATTAAATGAATCCCTCAAACAAAACAGGATGCAATTGAAATCTGTGCACTGCCCCTGTGCAGATTTTCCTTGCTCCCAGTTTCCAGTATCCTTTGTTCTTCAGGATGAAGGACCCACAGCCAGAGACCTCCTGGTGCAGTATGCCACAGGGAAGAAGGGCTCCAAAAACAAGAAGAAGTTGGAAAAGGCAATGAAAGTGCTAAAGGTGAGATTTGTCCTGGAAACTGCAGTAGGAATCGTTAGTGTGTAGAACTTGTGTGGAATTTGTAGCCTGCTAAGCTTTGGAATCAAGAGATAATATTAAAGACAAACAAACTTTAGAAATGCATAATGAATTGTAAGCATTTAACATTTTAGACGAATAGGTTATGTTCAGCTCTGACAAGACTGTGACTTGAGTAAATCTGATTAAATTTACTTTGACTAGATATGAGTTCTTAGAAAAAGTTTGGTATTTGGTGATGGTTATTCCAAATATCATTAGTTTGATCCCCATGGAGTCTGTGTGTATGTGCGTATGCATTTGTGGGTGTTACAGTTTATTCATATAGGGATTAGCATGTATACATGTTTGTGCACGAATTTATATTTTTTGCAGGTGCATGTGAACATGGTGCAGGTTGCCAGAGATTGCGTTGGGTGCCTTCCATCACTTTGCACCTTACTCTGAGAAAGAATCTCTCCCTGAACCTGGCTAGACTGGCTGGTCAGTCAACTCCAGGAATCCACCTGTCTCTGCCTTTGCAGAGCGGGAGTTATAGGACGTGCCACCACATCCCACTTGGTGCTGCAGATCCAAACTCAGATCCTCATGCGCGCATGGCAAACACTTTGTCAGCTGAACCCTTTCTTTCCTCAGCCTCTATGCTATACTAGTATTGCATCTTTAAATTTCTTCAAGTCACACATTTCATAGCTGATTTATTTTCACTTTTGTTGTTGTTTGGTTGTTTTATTTGGTTTTTTGAGAAAGGATTTCACTCTGTAGCTAGCTCTGGCTGTCCTGGAACTCACTTTGTCGACCAGGCTGGCCTCAAACTCAAGAGAACCACCTTCCTCTGCCTTCCAAGTGCTGGGATTAAAGGTGTTCACAAAAACCAACTTTAGTTCTTCTAAATGAGAAAAGGGTTTTAGGACAAGTGTTTTGTTTTGTTTTGTTGTTTGTTTGTTTGTTTGTTTTTTTCCTTTTAAGCTAGTGTAATGGGGATAGGGAAATGACTCGGTGGGTAAGATCTCTGCTGTGCAAGCATGCCCACCTGAGTTCAGATATCTAGCACAAGCCAGGTATGACTGTGCACATCCATAACCCTAGCTCTGATGTGAGGGGTGTGGCGGGGAGACAGGTGGGTCCTTGGAGATTGATAATCAGCCAGCCTTGCTAGAAAACACTTAAGTCCAGGTTCAGTAAGAAACCCAGTCTCAGTGAGACAAAGCAGAATGGTAGAGCACTGACATCTGCCCTGTTGGGCACACAGCCTACAGTCAGTCACAGTCTGAGGACTGCCTAATGACCTTCAGGACACAGGCACACAGTCAGTCTGAGTACTGCCTAATAGAGCATGTCACAGGAATTCGGAGCCAAGGGGTTTTGAATGGGTTTCCCTTCTCTTTCAGAAACAAAAGAAGAAGAAGAAACCAGAAGTGTTTAATTTTTCAGCTATTCATTTGATTCATGATCCCCAAGGTACCATAATTACTGCTTCTAAGTTCCTTGTTGGCCTTATCACTTCTGTTTTCTTACTCTTGTTTTAGACCAGTCTTTCTTAATTGAATCACCTAGGAAACTGGGTAAAGTGCACAGTCTGATTCATTAGGGTGTGGATGTGGCTTTGGAGTCTGCACTTCCAAGAAAGTCCTAGTAGATTGGCTGCTGGCGGCCTGCAGAGCACACTCTTAGAAGCAAACTATATCCATAGTCACTGCAGAGGTTGATGCACAGCATCTTGGGAACCTGTATTTAGGAATTTGTATATGTACACAGACACATATATGCAGGGAACAACAATTAATGGAAAAAATCAGGGAAAGGTATATGGGAGCATTTGAAAAGAGGAAAAAGAAAGGGGAAATGACATCAAAAGATAAAAGAAATGATTTTTAAAATGTATCTTAGGAATCCAGGGCTGAAGAGTTGCCCTAGTGGCTAAGAGCACTGTCTGCTCTTACAGAGGACCCAAGTTTGGTTCCTGGCACCCACATCAAATGCCTCACAATGCCAACCTGGCTTTGAGGAATTCAACACCTCTGTGAACATCTGCATACATGTGCACATACAAGCATACATATAAAAATAAATATTCTCTAAAAAAATTTTTAAAATCACCTTGAGTGTTGGCACGGTACTCACAAGGCAGAGGCATGCAGATCACTGAGTTCCATAGGCCAGTCCTATCTACACAGCAAGTTCCAGGGCAACTAAGGTTATGTGGTGAGACCCTGTCTAAAAAAAAAAAAAAAAAAAAAAAAACAACTTGGGAGTCCTTAAGATAAATTTCGGGTATTGTATTTGATCTTTTCAGTGATGTAACTCCTCATGCCCTTTCCCTGTGCCTGTTAAATGCTGTCTACAGCCACAAACCCACGTTCCTCTGATTCTTTCCTTCCAGATTTTGCAGAAAAGCTTCTGAAGCAGCTAGAGAGCTGTAAGGAGAGGTTTGAAGTGAAGATGATGTTCATGAACCTCATCTCCAGATTGGTGGGAATTCACGAGGTGCGAACCACTGCTTCTCTTGGTGGATGTCAGGAGTGGTGGGAATTTAGGAGGTGTGAAAGTCACTGTTTCTCTTGGTGGATGTTAGGAGTGGAATGGGCTTGGTAAAGGAAAGCAGTTTCGTAGAACAATGTCTTGGTTCTAATCCCCAAGGGTCAGCAGGAAGTCCAACCTTTCCCTCTGAAAGCAGCTGCTTTTATTTACCATTGTTGCCTTTCCAGTGTATATGCACATACTAATCTGAACTGCATACTTTCACATACGTGTTCCTGAGCCAGAATAGGCTACATACTTCTCTTGATTCTGGTTACCTTCCAGCGTGCCTAACCCTTCCTGGCGTTAACTTCCAGGTGTCTCTGGTAGGAGTTTGCAAAGCTGGGATCCCTGGTGTTTCTTTTGTATTGAGTTAGATTGCAAGAGCTACTGGTGTGTGTATGTGGTGTATGTGTGGATACTTTCAGAATAGCTGCCTTTAGCAAAAGATTACCAAAGTTTAGATCACAAAGAAGTGACCTTGGAATTGTTCTCTTGACTGCTTTGGTTTTTTTCCTCTTACATATATGGGGGGTTTGCCTGCATGTATTTTTATACAATGCCCCTGGAAACCATAAGAGATCATTGGACCCTCTGGAACTGGAGTTACTTACAGGTGGTTGTGAGTCGTCATAAGGGTGCTAGGAACATGTGGTCCTCTGGAAGAGCAGCCCTTGCTCTTAACAGCTGAGTCATCTCTCCAGCCTAGTTTTCTGATATGGTTGTCATGAGTGGTTCTGCTCTGAGATTGTTCAACCTTTTGCTTTTCTTGGTTAAAAATACGGAGTCCTTCCTCCAGTGTGGTTGGACTAGTTGACAGTAGAGTTAGGGGTGTCAGTTTGGGGCAATCTAATAACACTAGGGCCACTCAGATTTGCCCTGTCCTGTTCCCCCGGAGGCTTTAGGACCTTGCTCTCCTTCTGTGAACAACAAGACAGAGCTCTGCAGCTAGGCCAGGGTCAAAACTAAAAGGGTGTTGGGTTTTGTCTGTCTTTCCCTACTTTATTCTGTGTTCTCTCATATGGAAAGATAGCAGGGTAATGTTGGGGAGAACATTCTTTCCCTGGGTCACTGAAGCATATTAAATTAGCCTGTGGCAAGAATTCTTACTGAGACTAAAACAAGTCAAAAAGCTTCCCAGTGCATTTATCTTTGTGATGAAATTGCATGATGGAAAATGAAGTTTCGTGCTTAAGTTTTATAAATATTAAAGTTGCTACATTCTTCTCTCCACAGCTTTTCCTCTTCAACTTCTACCCTTTTGTGCAGAGGTTTCTGCAGCCCCACCAGAGAGGTAAATTTCCTGTGTGTCTGCCCCTTGATGGCTGCAACCTAATAAGTGCTAGTCTGTTGTTCTAGCGTCATCAAGGACAAATGGAGTTATGTGTGTTTTATATAGAGAAAGGAAGGGAAGATGGAAGGCTGAGGCAGGAGGATCAGGACTTCAGGCCAGACACACAGACACACACAGACACACACACACATACACACACACACACTGAGGCAGGAGGATCAGGACTTCAGGCCAGACACACACACACACACATACCCCTACCTCTATTTAAATAAAGATAAATTCTTGCTTGCAAGTCTTTTTGTAATATAAATTCTCCTGTCAAAAATTCTAGTTTTGGGGCTGGAGAGATGGCACAGGAGTTAGGAGCACTATATACTGTTATTGCAGAGGACCTGGGTTCACTTTCTAGTACCCACATGGTGGGTTACTACCATCCATAACTCCAGTTAGTAGATCCAATACCCTCTTCTGACCTCCACAGGCACTAGTCATGCATGGGGTGCACAGACATGTGTGCAAGAAAAACATCCATACACATAAATAAATAAATCATAAAAAATAAAAATAATGTAGTTTTCACCTTTAACCCTAGTTTTGTGGTTACAGGACTCCATGGCCTTTTGTGCTTCTCAGTTAGCAGTACACAGAAGCAGGTAGAGATGGGTACTTGTTTTGGCCGACAGGAAGGAAGCGAGCATTTGAACATCTGACATGAGCCTAGCGCGCCGTGCTGAGTGCTTTCTGTACGTCACTTCAGTGGTCTCTTTGAAGTTCAGAAAGTGACCACAGCATTCAAGTGAATGACAAGGCAGCATTTGCCTCTTCCCAAAGACCTCCTTTTGGTTTTGGTTGGTGGTGGCTTTTTGTTTGGCTTGTTTTTGTATGTTTGAGAAGCTCTCACTATTCATGCCTGGCTAGCCTGGGACTCCCTGTATACACCAAGTTGGCCTTGAATTCACAGAGGTCCTCCAGCCTGTGGCATGCACTACTGCACCCAGTTTGGGTCTCTATAGCCCAGGCTGGCTGGAACTTCAGTAAGCCTCCTGCATGGGCCTCTTGTGTACCGCACTAACAGGCATGAGTCACATGCCCGGAACAGAGGCTTTGCTCTTCCCTTACACTGTGCTTCCTCTTGGAAGAGAGAGTGTTCATATATGAACATTTGCGTTTGTCCAACAGATTTTTGTTTTGTCCCAGGCTGGTCCCAGTCTCAGGGTCCTTCTGTCTCTAGGACCTCACTCCTATGTTCTAGGATCATAGGTGTGAGCTACCACACACAACCTTCTCAGTGGTTTCTATGCCTGCACAGAAAGCCAAGGAGAGCAGTACGTCTGTTAAATACTGAGTCCTTACTCTCACCGAATTTGTGCTCTAGAGGGAAGTCTAGGCAGCGCTGTATAATACTCACGTCAAGGTTTGGAAGAGAAAAGCAGAGTAAGGACAATATTGAGTATGGGGACAGATCCTCTTTTAGGCTGTAGGATCTTGGAGGGCCTTTTTGATGAGGTAGAGTAGAACAGAGGACCTGAAGGAACCAAGAGGTGAGCCCTGCAGATATGTAGAGGTTGGTGTTCAGGTGGAGTAAGTTAAGTGACAGTCATGTGATAACTGAGTTTGCTTGCCGTGTCACTGTAGTCCTTGGAGGCAGGTGATAATGTGTGCCCTTTCTTGTCTCTTGTGCTTTCAGAAGTCACAAAGATCCTTCTGTTTGCTGCACAAGCCTCTCATCACCTGGTGCCGCCAGAGGTGAGAACTCACTTGACCTCTGGCCCAGGGGTGTGCAGTATAATGCTGCCACCCGGATCCATTGCATACAGTGTTGCCGATGCTGGGCTTATTAGGGTTTCTTCCCAGAGCTGCTGTCTTTCCTGTCCCTTTCTTTACATGAACAGAGGAGACCTACGGGGTTGTAACAGAAGTCGGCTGTACAGTTCACAGAGGGGAACAAGCTGAGGGTTCTGACTTTAATGACCAAGGTTTATGACTGGGAAGGACCAAGGGTATTAATAAGTTCATGGTGACTATTGTTTAAAGCTGGTAATTCTTTGATTAAAAGCAAAGTTTTGTTTTGATTTAGTCATAGTTGAAAACAATGTAACAGACTACAAGAGCAAGAAAACAGAAGTAGCCTGGGCACCAGCACTCACGAGGTAGAGGCAGATGAAGCTCTGTGAGCTTGAGGCCAGCCTGGTCTACAGACAGAGTTCCAGGACAGCCAGGGCTGTTACATAGAGAAACCCTGCCTTGAAAAAGCAAAACAAAACAAAGCAGAAGTGGGAGCTGGAGAGATGGCTCATTTGTAAGAGAACTTGCTGCTCTTCAGAGACCCAAGCTTGGTTCCTAAGCCCAAGACAGACAGCTCACAAACAGCCTGAAACCAGCTCCGGCTGATCTCCATTAGCCTCTGAGGCCACCAGCATGCATACACACACACACACACACACACACACACAAATATTAAAATTCTACAAAAGAAAACAATGTTAAAGAATACTGAACTGAGCAGTGCCTGTCTTTCTCCCTTTCTTCCTTAGTTCTGATTCTCAGCTGCCGTCCTGAAAGTGGAAGGCTGCTTCGCAGTGAAGAGTCTGCTATCCTCGGGAAGCAGGGACCTCTCTCACCACTCACCCAATTTTGTTTCCAACACAGATTATTCAATCACTGCTCATGACGGTGGCCAACAATTTTGTTACTGACAAGAACTCTGGGGAAGTCATGACCGTAGGGTACGTAAAGCATGCTTGGGGTCAGTAGGAGTTTATAATGTGCCAACATGGACAGGATTCTAAGGAGGGAACCAGATAAAATGCCTGTCCTTCTGATCAGCCATTGTGATGTTTTGCAGTTTTACTTATGTGAATGTCTACTCACCACCTAAGTGTTTCTTTTTCTCCCGCCATGAATTTTTCTTAGACTGGGACATGCGATGGACTTGCGATTTGTTAATGAGTCACTCTAAAGAGAAACAGAGAGACCAGAGAACTTCAGTAGCCCTTCTGGTTAACCCAAAGGGTTGTCTAACCTGCCCACATTAGGTGATAATACTAAACAGTTACTTTGTTTTATCTCTCTTGCCATCTGTGGTTGGGATAACAGCCCTAAAGACCTTTAACCCTTCCGAGCCATGTTCATGCTGTCTCTCCTTAGAGTGGGTGAGCAAATCCTGCCATGATTTGTTGTGCCTAACACTGGTCCTTGTTACACTGGCAAAGCAAGTGACTGTCGGGAATAACAGCCTATAAGGCTGTTCACCCTCTTTCTCTGCCACACTGCAGGTTTAGGATCCTAAGCCTGTAAAATTCAACCTGTGTTCCTTTTGATTTTTTAACATAAAATTACTCTTTTATTTTAAATTCATTTTTCCTTTTCCAGAATCAATGCTATAAAAGAGATAACAGCTCGATGTCCTTTGGCTATGACTGAAGAACTTCTGCAGGACCTGGCTCAGTATAAGACACACAAAGATAAGAGTGAGTTGCATGTTGTTCTCTGTAGGCCAACAGGCCAGTTGACTTGCTTTTACCTCACTGTAGTCTTTGCTTCGACATTTCTAATCAAAGGTGGTGTTTTATAGACGTAATGATGTCTGCCAGAACTCTGATTCATCTCTTCCGGACACTGAACCCTCAGATGCTGCAGAAGAAGTTCCGGGTAGGTGAAGCATGCTTAAGGTGGTTGAAAGTTTGTGATCTCAGAAAGTGAGGGCAATGCCTGCTGTCACATTAGTGATGCTTCCATGAAGAGTGTGTGTGATGCGTGTGGCTCTGTTCCTCAAGCTTAGGATGCAGTTGATTGAATTCCTTGGTCCTCAACCCTTGTGTTCTGTGATGAGGGCTGGGTCTTAAAGGCCTGCCGGCTGTTGTGTGTGATTCCGTCGACAGGTTAGAGTCTATAGTATCAGTCAGCAGCTGATGCCCAGCTCATCCAGGTGCTGCCTCTTTCAGCAGGGAGTGAAGTGTGTTTGTAATACAAAGAGGTGGCACTCTTGAGACTTAGGGCAGTTATTCTTTGCAAAAGCCAGTTTCTCAATTTAGATCAGAAAACACTGAGAAAGAAGTAAACTGTTCTGCCTGGGGGTTTACGTTGTTGCTCTGATGGGTAAGCAAATCGTTCTTATTATTTGACTATCTCCATTTTGTTTTTAATAATGTTCTCACCCTAGAGGGCCTTTTATAAGGAATATTCCTTTTAATCTAAGCACCTTATTTTTAAATAATTTTCTCTTTTAGGGTAAACCTACCGAAGCCTCTATTGAAGCAAGAATACAAGAATATGGAGAGTTAGATGCTAAAGATTACATTCCAGGAGCAGAAGTTCTAGAGATTGAGAAAGAAGAGGATACAGAAAATGATGAAGGTTCATTTTCCTCCCCTTTGCCTTGCCTTACCTTTTGCTGGCGATTGAACCCAGGTTCTCACTCACCACGGAAGATCTAGCCCTGAAGCTACCTGGCAAGATCTGAGCGTATGGGTGGTTGTGTAAATGGCAGCTGTATCAGTGAGTTCTCTTTCACCCAGATGGATGGGAAAGTGCCAGTCTCAGCCCTGAGGAGGAGGAGGATGGCGAATGGGTTGATGTGCACCACTCTTCCGACGAAGAGCAGCAAGAAATTGTAAGTCCATGTGCCCTCTCACAAGTGCATCGCCATGTTTGCTGGGCCATGTTAAAATTTAAATGACTGTGCTGTCACTTAAGCTGGTAGCCATTTATCCTTTTGGCTCTGTGTTCTTCAAGGCCAAGAAGCTGGACAGCATGCCCATGGAGGAGCGGAAAGCCAAAGCTGCAGCCATCAGCACGAGTCGGGTTTTAACACAGGATGACTTCCAGAAAATCCGAATGGCCCAGATGAAGAAAGAAATGGACGCTGCCCCCGGGAAAGCCCAGAAAAGGAAATACATCGAAATCGACAGTGATGAGGAGTCCAGGTGAAAAATGGCACATACCCAGATCTTCAGTCTGCTTGGGAGGCAGTGAAAGCATCAGGGAAAGGAGGTCACCATTGTTTTGTATTGTTTCTGTCCCTCTCCACAGGGGTGAATTGCTGTCTCTGCGGGACATTGAACGCCTTCATAAAAAGCCCAAATCTGACAAGGAGACGAGACTAGCAACTGCAATGGTGAGTGGGACATACACCATCCCTCCTTCTATAAACAGAAAGAGAATAAAATGAACCATAATTTCCCCCAGTGTGTGTAGGTGTAAACCTCCTGGCACATGCTCATTCTCCCTCCCCGTTCCCTTTCTCTATGCCCTCCCTCCCCCTTCATGCACGTTATTAGGTGAGTGAACCCATAACCCAGTCTAGCCTAAAGCTTTAGTTGAGGGTGACCTTTAGATTCCTGACCCTGCTGCCTCTCCTCCTGCCTGCCATGCTTGGTCTGTGCAGTCCTGGGGAAAGGACCCAGAGCCTGTGCCTACTCAGCAAGCATTCTACCAACTGAGCCACATCCCCTCCCCCCCAATTAGATGAGAGCTTCTATTGTTTTGGTTTGTTTGGTATACTTTTTTGTTGTTTTGAGACAGGGTCTCTCTATATGGCTGTCCTAGAACTCTCCATGTAGACCAGGCTGGCATCGAACTCAGATCAGCCGGCATCTGCTGGAATTAAAGATGTCCCATCTATACATGGCTGTTAGATGAGTTTTGACAACTGTATGTAGCCATCTAACTATCACCCAAAACACAGTGTAGAGGATAGAAATGCGTATTATGCACTCATGGTCTCAGGATGCTTAGCACTTTATTAAAGCAATAGGGAAACATGTTTGCAGTCAGAGTCAGCCTGTGGCTCATGCTGCTGCCACTCATGTTTGTGCAGTGACCACTTTGTCCCCTCACTGCTGTGAAGCCGTGTCACACAGTAGCCCCTCCTCACCTTTGCCTTGTTTGAATGGAGACCCATGTGGACATTTGGAACCCCTGTGCTTTCTCCTCTGCTCTTCCACACCCTGACGTCTTCCTTCCCCTCTTCCCACCATGCCAGCACCAGCTTGGCCTCTGGAATCCGGCAGAATCGGGGTGTTTCCTCTCACTGAGCTCAGCTTTGTCTCTGTTGGATTGAATCCTAGGGATCAAAAGCTGCACTTTGTCCCTGTCTTGTCCTTGGCATCCAGCAGAGTGATGAAATAATGCTGTCAGTGAAGAAATACTAATCACTAATTGCTTTGTGCTAATAGGCAGGAAGGACAGACCGAAAGGAATTTGTGAGGAAGAAAACCAAAATAAATCCATTTTCCAGTTCCACAAATAAAGAGAAGAAAAAACAGAAGAACTTTATGATGATGCGATATAGCCAGAATGTCCGGTCAAAAAACAAGCGCTCCTTCCGGGAGAAGCAGGTAGGTTCAGTGTGGAGCCTGAGTGCTAACACAAGGCAGCCATGTGCTTGACAAGAGGGTGCCTTCTGAGGACCACATGCGGAGTGTGTTTAGGCTTCAAGGAAGCGCTCGCTCTGAGGCTGGGAGCAGACAGGGTGGGAAAGCCTCAAACCTGAGCTGTTACGGGTCTCCATGTGAACTGTGGGTGACCCTGGGTCATCATCTCTGTAAGTAAGAGAACAAGCTGGGTCCCCTCTGAGGTCCATTCCCATACTAAAGTAGTCTCTAGCCTGTGAAGTAGATTGAAACTGATACATGTTATGCATGGGACTTTTCTAAAAGCCCTGCGGTGGTGTGCTCAGGAAGGCAGCACTCAGCACACAGTCCTGCTGTGTTGTGATTCTGTATCCTTTCCCAGAAAGCATCACGTTTACCAGCCTTGGGGATCTCTATCCATTGTTGCTTAACTGGTTTGCAAGACAGGTCTTACTGTGTGCCTTGTAATGGCTTGAACTTACCCAGGCTGGCTTTCCTCAGAGATTCACTTGCTTAAGCCACCTGGGTGAGTTTGCTTCCTGATTGCAGGCATGTGCTACATGCATGGCCCGGCAATCATGCTGCTTGGGTGGCCTGCTCATCTCAGCGATGCACTGTAGTAAACAGGTTGACGCCGTGTGTTTTCCTCTTCTGGGAGCATGCCAGAGCTTATCATGTGTCATTCTGAAGCAACTGTAGAGAATCTGCAGTTTCTAGGCTACCCAGTCTCTGAACCATCTTTCCTGGTAGCTAGCCAACAGCAGCCTGCCAAGACTAAGTGTAGTGGCCAGCCCTCCAGGCAGCTCTGTAACTGTGGGTGCCACCACCTAAATTCTATTTTCATTCGTGTAATCTGTGTTTAACACTGTAGATAATAAAAGTGATGGCATTTCTAAAGAAAGGCTGATTTTGCCACATAGTCAAATTGACTCAAGTCCTGTCCTTTGGAGCCTTCCTAACGTCGTGGAGTTGAGGAAATTGCAGCCACGCTGTTGGCAGCCTTGCTTCTTTGAGGTTTAATTTGGCGTAGGGCATCACTCCCCACTTCCTGTTTTGTAGAATGCCTTTGGGGGGGGGGGGGTTAGCATGATAGAGAAGCTGGGCTTTCATCCTTATCAGTGCTTCATTAAAAACATTTCCCTCAAAGTCTAGAAATTTTAAGACTAAACTGAGAATGACACATTCACGGCTGCTGGTTTAAGAATGTTTCTTCATCTTGCCGTTGTCTTGCTGCTTGAACTGACAAATGAATCAGCATTCTTGCATTTGTTTCCTTGCCTTGCAGTTTCTTCTTGTTATAGAATATAACTCTTGTTCCTGACTTTCCATATTGTCTCAGCTGCACTTATACCGTCAGTGTTTAGAGTGAACACAAGATGTGTCAAGTAAGCTGGGCAGTGGTGGCCCACACCTTTAGTCCCAGTACTTGGAGGCAGAGGCAGGCAATCTTTGTGAATTCAAGGCCAACCTGGTCTACAGAGTGAGTTCCAGGACAGCCAGGGTGAGGCAGAGAAACCCTGTCTCAAAAAGCACAAACAAGCAAACAAAAAGATGCATCAAGTGTTAACTTTAAGTAAAGCTATTAAGGCTGGATGTGGTGGTTCACGCCTGGAATCCCAGCAACTTGGGAGGCTGGGGCAGGATCCGTGCTTGAAAGTAAAGATAATAAAGTTGATTTTAGTAGTATGCCTTGATTTACCTAAGTTATGAAAGTAATTCTAGCAGCTAATCAATACAGAAGTTATTGAGATATTTTATATTTGTGTTAACTAATTAAAATCCAGGGTCCTGTTTTACACAACACATCAAGTTTGAACAAGTAACTCTTTGTTCTGATTGGTTCTATTCTTGTTTTAGTGTGTGGGATGCTGCAGCATGTGTGTGTGCGCCTCATGCCAAATGCTCAGAGAGTCCCCAGGTACCCTCTAGGAAAGACCGGCGATTCACCCCCTGTGGGTGTTTCACTGTCCTAAACCGGATCTCCAAGCCTTGCTGTGGCGCTCACAGGGAAAGAAAGGACTGTAGATGTGCCTTTGTTCAGCTAATAGCATTTGAAGGGGGAAAGAGTGAGATGTGCAGGCGCTGAGACAGTGCTTGGCCTGCAGCTTAACTCCTCAGGGCTTCCAGGTAACGCTCACAAGCAGGTCTTCTGAGTGAAGTGTAAACATAAACAGCCAACAAGACACTGGAGAGTGTTAGACAGACCTCCTTAGCCAAACCAACTAAGATTCTTCTTTTTTCTCTTTACTGTCCTAACAACTCTGCCTGCCTACAAAGAGATTCGAAGTCCCAGCAGGAAGCATGGAGATGGGAAATGCAGAAGGTTTAGATGCAGAACCAGGCTACATCCGTCCTAGAATGGTTTTATACTTTTGAGGCAGGGTTTCAAATGAGTATGAGCCCAGACTGGCCTTGAATTCCATCTTTCTGACTCAGCCTGCCAGGTGCTGAGGGTGTGAGTCATGATACCTGGCTCCCAGAAATGTCTTCTAAACAAAGCACAAGTTCTTAGTAAATAACAAGTCAAATCTCTTCAAATGGCTGGAATTAATGGAATAATTGTTCATCACACACTGAAGATGTGTGCCTTGGCCTTGCTTGCCTTTTACTGCTTAAAACTTGGGCTTGTTCTAATAGCCTTTAGTATTGTGAATTGTCCGGGGAGGGTTAGAGATCTTGGTTGGATACCTGTACCTCTTAAGTGCTGAGTAGAGCAGAGAAGTGCTGGGTGCCACCCCTGAAGTCAGGGGCACTGTTTCTGTAGGAAACATAAGGTCACTGCAGATGCTGGTTCTGGTCTTTTTTTTTTTTTTTTTTCTGGATCTTAAAGTCAACCTTCAAATTCTACCCCAAGTATCATCGTCACAGGAACCCCCAGTTCCTGTGGCTAGAAGACAGTCAGGTTCAACTAGAACATACATCACACATTCATTTCACCTGACACAGGGTGATTAAAGAAGTTAAAAAAACTTAGGGCCTCCTGGGTTGAGGAGATGGCTCAGCAGGTAAAGTCCAGGAACCCATGAAGTGCAGAGAGAGAATCGGTTCCACAGAGGTGCCCTCTGACCTCCACAAGCGAACCAACCCCCCCACGCGCATTCAATAATAAGAATAATTAAAGTAAAATCTTTTAAAATTAAGAGTCTGAGTTAACTAGGAAGAAATATTTGTCTTGAACCTAATTCCCAGAGTTTTGACTCCTAATGTTAATGTCTTCAAGTGTGAGCCATTGAAAAGAAGTTGTAGTGGTGACGTATGGTGGGGTTGTCTTACCGGCTGGGCAGCAATCACCTTTACCCACTGAGTCATCTTGCCAACCTGGATTGGATCCTGTAGGAAATATTTCACTGTGTGATGTTTTGGGATAGCTGTTGATGCAGTGCTTCTTATCTGACAACTTTATGACCTAGTTGATGTAACAAGTTACTACTGTTGATGCTTTCTTTCTCTTCTCTTGCAGCTGGCACTACGAGATGCACTTTTGAAGAAGAGGAAAAGAATGAAGTAACTTAGCAGCAAGTTGTCCATCTCCTGCCAAACGCCAAGTGTGTATCTACATGACGAAAATTCATTAAAAGGTCAAGAAACACTATATTTTGAAAACCGCAGTAACATTTGTAGCAATTTGGCATTTTTAATTTGGAGGTGGGGCTGGTGGGAATATGAAATGTAAATAGTAACGATGTTAAAATCTCTTATACCAAGTGCCTCCTAATTGCTGCTGCGTACATAGCTGAGTGAGCCAGACCCTTGCTGAGGGCAAGTGTACATAGGTGTTTATAGTGAGCTGTAAATAGTCCCTATTCCAGGTCGTTGGGGCTCCTGGCTAACTTCAGGGATGGAGTTGTACATGCTCTTCAAACAGGACAATGTTACAAGAGTAAGAGGGTCTTGCTTGTAAATAGGCTTGCCTGCTAAACGGGCTCCTGCTGTGCAGACTGGGTACACAATTTTTATGTAAAGAGCTTTGGCTAAGACCTCATTTTTTAAATCGCCTTAAGTCTAAATAGTGATTTTGAAATGTCTGGCAGGGTGCAGTGGCACACACCTATAATCCCAGCATTCCAGAAGCTAAGGCAGGAGGCTCATTGGTTTAGAACCAACTTGGACATACTGAGTTATCAGGGGCATCCTGGGCTGCATAGTGAAACTCCAACCAGAAACACAGTCAGAACTTTCCATTTGAGCTTTGAACTTTCCATTCCTGTTCTCTGTGTCTGTTGCTGGGGTTTTGTTGTTTGTGTGACCTGTTCTCTGTGTCTGTTGCTGGGGTTTTGTTGTTTGTATGGCCTGTTCTCTGTGTCTGTTGCTGGGGTTTTTGTTGGTGGTGTGGCCTGTTCTCTGCTGTCTGTTGCTGGGGTTTTGTTGTTTGTGTGGCCTGTTCTCTGTGTCTGTTGCTGGGGTTTTGTTGTTTGTGTGACCTGTTCTCTGTGTCTATTACTGGAGTTTTGTTGTTTGTGTGGCCTGTTCTCTGCTGTCTGTTGCTGGGGATTTGTTTTGTTTGCTGTGCCTCTTGTTTTCCACCAAGTGGATTCCCTGCCTCTGAGCTTCAAGTCCAGCCCTGAGTGCCGATCTGACTCTTCCCATTGGTTTGATGAGTTCCCTTCATTCTCAACTCAGCCCATTGCTTGCCTTGTTCTCAACCAGTACGTACACATTTTTTATGTCAGATAGGTGTGTGCAGTGAATAGTAACACTTGATCCCTTGTGGGACCCGCTCTGCATGCAGCTGCTGGATTTAGAAAGGTGCCTTTTGCCTCAGATATCTTAAGTAATCTTGTAATGAGAAGATACTGTTGCATGTTTGGATTAGAGGAAAGGGCAGTTTTCTGTCCCTTGGAATTGGTAGCAACTCCTACTGTTTGCTTTCCCTTCCTCCTTTTCATTGTTCTGTTCAGTTTCTAAGTTCAGCTTTGGTTCTGTTTATCCCCTGTCACTTTCCCGAATGGTGCCTGGGTCACTGTTGGGGGATTGCCCAGCAGCCTCAGCCAGCCCAGCTGTGGAGGAAGTGTCCAGTGCAGGTTTCTGTGTCAGCCCTGAAGCTGCTCTTCTCTCTTCTGCTGTTCTTTTTTGGGTGTCTCCTTATGCATTGGTCTGAAGTCAGCTGAGACACTCACTCCAGCTGCAGCTGTGCTCTGTACTTGGTTGTTTTAGCTCCTCCGGCCCCCACCTCCCAGCTACTGGGATTTCAGGCACATACTACCATGCCCAGTTTCTGGGCTACTAGGGGTCATACCCAGGCCTTGGCATATAAATCCAGAATACCAGCACATTCCCTATATGACATTAGCAGATTTCACTGGTAAAGAAGTGCCACACACCTCTTCTCTGTCGAATCCCTAGTGTTAGGTAGGTGTCTGCTGGAGTGTCGAGGGTACAGCACATGTGTGGATGCCTGCTTTAACCCCTGCCTGCCAAGGCTGTCTGTAACTGTTACACCACCTACCTCTCTGAGTAAATTGTGTTTGGTGGGGTTTTTGTTACTTTCTTTTTTTCTTGTAATAGTTAAGTTGCTGTGTTTATTTTAACCATCCAGTCCAGTGATTTGACAGCGATCTTAAAATACATGCTGAATGTTCTTGTGGCTGCACACACAGTGTTTGCGTCATGTTAAGGGAAACATGATGTTCTGTGAAGATACAGCTGTGCTTCATCACATCTGATCACATCCCAGTAGACACACACTGAGTCTTCACACTGTACCATAATCCATGTGGCAGCTGTTGTAGCCTCTGATGCCCATGGTGGGCAGGGCAACACTGTAAAAAACTTGTTCTTGAGGCCCGTGGTTAAGTCAGTGTGGTGTTAGTATAAGTTGTAAAGATTGCAGTTAATACAAATTTTGTTTTTATTTGTTTTCTGGTTCATTGAAAACTTAGAATATATATAATATATAGAGTACTACATTAAAATTCTAGTTTAACTAAAATGTTTAATTGTTTTGAGTACTCCGTTTAAGCTTAACAGATGTTTAAAGTGTACATGGATAATGTGGTACTCCCACAGGTAGCGTCCTCTCACTAATTCTTTGCATGGTTGTGTTAGACCCCCGAAAACTCAAGTATCCGGGGTCTCAGGCCAGGTTCGAGGTCACCCCCATCACCAGGTGGATTCGAGAGCTTGCTGCAAACTGCACGAGGCTTTATTGTAATTTAACGAGCTA